GGATTACAAGTGTGAGGGGGAGTCTGTTGGAAATATGCCCTGAAAGTCAATCTTTGGAAGAAACCTTTCAGGACAATGAATGTGTGTATAGATGACTCTTATACATCAAAAGGCAAAGATGCTAATTAGGACTATCTCAATAAACGATATATGTCCTAAATAGTGAATCCATGGACAATGGATCGATGTAAGAAGTAATCTAATGATGTTAGACTACAGAGACCTTCTTCACATAACCATCATGTCCAAAAAGGTTCCTGGTCATATGATTGTCAGAGGGATACTGACAATGCAAAGACCAGTACATATTGTGTCCCCTTCAATTGGAAGGATGGAAAGTCTCATCCCATTCGTGTAATGACACTAAGACAGGTATGTAGGTGCTCATTAAGGGAATGAGTTCACTGAACACAATCGAACGAGAGTACTTGCATGAAGGTCTACTCATATGTCAAGCAAGTAACTCTAATGGTTGGAATAATGTAAGTAGTCTTTTGACCTGAGGCATCATAGTTGTCTTGTGGTTAGGTTCTTGATCTTTGATTATGTCAAAGTCACTTCATCCGCGGGTGTCCACGGCATAGTTGGGGTTAAGCCACTTAGCCATGGAGGCAAGTAAATGCGCAACAAGGGATCTCTAATCCTCGTTATGAGAGGATGAATACTCTAAGATATGATTCGGGAATCTTCGGCCGAAGTATCGAGCGTAATAAAGGAAATTGTTCCTATACGACTCAATTGAATCATATAACATGGAATAATCACATTAGGGGTTTGACATAATATATCCATACCCTAATAATGTGATTGAGAGTATTGTATTAGAGAAGGATCGAATTACATTGTATTTCCAACTGAATAGGTTCTCCGAACAAATTCTACATTAGCTTGGGTAGCCATGATATATGGTTAGATGTCACTCATGGCTTGTGAATTCTTCTAGATGATTAAAATAAGTAGTCGTCAAAGAAGAAGGAGAATTAAAAGTAAGTTTTAATTCACTAAGTGATTGGATTAAACATAATCAATTGGATTGGTGCCAATCACCTCACTACCTTGCTAATTAGAACCTAAAATGATTGTACACCGATACACTCTTGTAGTGTGACAACTATTGGATGATGGAAATAATTAATTGGATTAATTAAGTGTTGTGATTAATTAGAAAGTCTAAAGAAATCATAAAAGCGATAAAAGATCGTTTTGGACTTAAAGAAAAGTTCGGGTTAATATGGGCCCATTAAGCCCAAACCCATTGGGCTTTTATTTAAGCATAGGATGACTTGAAATGATAAAAGCCCAAAGCCCAAACAACACTAAAGGGGCCAGCCAAATAAAGGGAAAGGGAGAGAAAGAAAGTCAAGTTGTTGACTTGTTTCTTTGTGTTATAAAAGGAACTTTATAGTGAAAAGTTTCATTAGGGTTTTGTGAGTTAACTTTCACCAAAAATTGAGAAAACACAATCTCTCTCTCTACTCACAAGGCCGGCCACCAAGAGGAGTTCTAACTAATCATCTTTTCTCCTTTTGGTCATTCCTCCATCCATCTCACTACACTAGTGAGTGTGGATCTTTAGAGGTCTTCAATCTTGGAGACTAAAGGAGAACCAAGGAGCACTCATTCTAGCAAAGTGGAGGAGGCAAGGAGGGAGGCTAGGCTCAAGGAGTTCCAAGAGCAAAGAACTTGGAGGTGGTCCATCCTTGGTCTCAAGTCTAGATCAAGAGGTATAAAACTATACCTTCACTTTGTTCTTCAATAATTTCTTAGATGCATCAAATATGGACCTATGCTTCTTGAAGGGGATTTGCATGACTATATCTTTGATATTATGTGATAACATGCTTCTGTTGCTTATGTATATAAATTTTTGAATTGTATATGCATGCTAGTCACTAGAAATCCCACATAAATCTCATTATTTCCCTTCAGAGTCCCCCAAAGAAAGAGAGAGTTTAGGAGAGTTTCTCTGTTTGTGAGCCTTGTGGCTTCTGTATGTGAGGATGAGACCTCCCAATTGTGAGGGTGAGGATGCCCTTTTATAGACTAAGGGCTCCTCCCCTTTTACATAAATCATGGGCTCAATGTCTGGAAGCCCAAGTAACGAGGCCCAATATAATATGGTACTAACAATTTTATTTACCATTAAAGGAATGGTGGGAATAGTTCTAATTCCTTCTCATAACTTGATGGTTGAAATCTCAGGAACAAGATTTATTTTAACGGGGGGTGAATGTAATACCCTAAAAATTTAAATATATGAATATGTGGAGAAAAATCGAAAATAAATCGATTTATGGTTATGTAAAATTGAATTGAGAACTTTTAAGTTTGTTTGTGGAAATTATTATAATTTACGTAGTAAAATTTATCGTTAAGTTGAAAAGACAAAAATGCCCTAGTTGGCTTAACGTAATTATACAAGGATGTATTTTATCCTCATATATTTTGGCATATTTCTTGACATATTTGCATAGAGGATGATTCCATGAGCGTGTAGGCGAAAACCGTTCGGCAAACGGAGTTAGAACGAATGAAATAGAAACAAATGAAAGTAGTGGCAAAATAGTCATTTTGCCATGATTTTGGGAAGGTTCCAGATTGTGTTCTGGATGGAAATATGCTATGGGGAAGGAATAAAAAAAAAAGAAGAAAGAATTGGGGAGACCAACCAGGAAATAAAAAGAGAAGAAGGGGAGATGGGGCCGAATCAGGATAGAAGGGGGAGAGGAAGTGACCAATGAGATACAAGAGAAAGCAGAGAAAGGAGAGGGAAGAAAAGGAAAGGAATTGGGGGAGAACACCCTAGCCAAACCAAGTCATCCCTTGACCCGTGGCCCGACCCCGCTTAGCCATGATTTCTGACGCCTTTTCAGGCAATTTCTCTGGTGATTAGAAGCCACACGCCACCTGGAATTGACCTAGCACCCCTTCCTTTCCAATTTCATCAAAAACCGAGTTAAATTGGCCTTGATTTTGTGATGAACTCATCGGCGAGTTTGTGGGGTGTACGGCTAAATACTGCCATTTTTTAAGGTAGTACAATCACAACCATTAAACTACTCCTCATGAGGTAGGGAACAAAACTAAAACAATTATAGGGGTGGTGGAGCACCAAAGGTGACGGATTGAAGCCACCCATTTCAAGGGTTTTCGACGAATTCGAGGGAAATGAGGGTTTTTCTTGGCCAAATTGGACTTGGCCACAGGTAAAAAACTTGCTCTACTCATTGAAATCTTCATTTCTGTGAAATTTGGTAATTTTTGGAAATAGTTTAATTTTCCTGCAACTGAGGGCAGCCAGGTAGGGAACAAAGCGAAACAACTATAGGGGTGGCGGAGCACCAAAGGTGACGGATTGAAGCCACCCATTTCAAGGGTTTCCCGCGAATTCGAGGGAAATTAGGGTTTTTCCTGGCCCAATTAGACTTGGCCACAGGTAAAAACTTGCTCTACTCATTGAGATCTTCATTTCTGTGAAATTTGATAATTTTTGGAAATAGTTTAATTTTCCTGCAACTTAAGGCAGCCAGTAGCCTCATGCGGCGGTGCATGGGCTGAGACCTCACCTACTTTTCATAGACTAATTTGGATACCCTGATTCCATATGTGACGTTCGATTGATGAAATCTCGTCGTATGACTATAGTTTTGATAAAGACTGCCACTTAGACATTATATGATTTGACGATTCGACTGTTAGATTGGCACCAAACTTAATTACGTAATAGAACATAATATTAAAGGATATTAGGAACTGACGGATTGGGAATCTAGCATACGGATCTTCCGGACTGGATTACTAGGGTTATGGACCCTACCCTCGACCATGATTGATGGTTGACTTTTTAGTCAACTAGGCTGAATTATTCTGGCATGTCGTTTATCTTAAAGAGTGTTGTTGGGATTTCATGGAGCTTAATGGGCTCATCGTGATGATGTGTGTCTCGATTTATGTATTGTGGCACCATATTGAATTATACTTGTTTATTAAATGTGATTTCCATTGAATTCTTATTTTTATCTTTAGCCATCGATCTATGTTTATTAATTGTGATTTGACTGTAGCTTTGAAACGTTTATGATATGTGGGTTGTTTTGTATGATTGGTATGTTATGCCCTTCGACTTGAACGGAATGTGGCATAGGTCGAGTTGTATTGAAATGTGAACTAATAAAGCTTGATCCAACTCAAGGGTATGTAGGCAACCTAACAGGGGTTAGATGTAGCCTTAAATAATCGAAATAAATCTTTTGTTGAGAAATTGAACTAAGAAAAGGAATTTGGTGAGTAATTTGAGATTTAACCTTATGTTTTGGTAAATAAATGGTGGTCATAAATTTTTGTGAGAGATTAAGAAATTGAAGTAGAGAATCGTGATTAATGGTAGTTAACTAAATAAGAGTTTAGTTTGAGCCTATCACCGATATTAGTTTCCGAAATAAATATTTCGGGGTGGGGCGTTACAACCCTGGTGCAGTTTCTATCCGAGATATGCATCGACATGGCTCCATTGGCCAGCTTATCTGCTCTGTTCTCGACCGAAAACCAGTTCGGTTGGGGTGTGGAGGATTTTACAGAATTGAAGGTGAATTGGTGAAAAAAATTGGGGCTTGGGAAAATTTGGTTTCGGGAGAAAGCTCAAAGTGGTTTGCTGGAGAGAGGGGGAGAGAGTGGAGTCAAATACGGGATGTGAGGTCGAAGCAGACAACCAGATTTTTTATTTTTTTATTTTTTGAATTTTTTTAATAGCCATGTGGACTCATATTGACACTTGTCGTCTAGTCATTATCCACGTGAGAGCCACATTACCAGTTAACGGCTGATTTAATAGCAACCTTAATGAATGTATGAAAGTGTCCCAAAATTATAATTTTAGATACCAATAAAAAAAACTTCATATATTAAATATTGAAAATAAAGAGACTTCGTAATAGTAAACTGAGATTAACCTTTTAACAATTAACACCGGTATCCGTATGTTTTTGGTTTTGGGTGGTTCAAAACTCCAAATCCTAGTGGATAAGAAAACCGCTCACTCTCTCTCTCCCTCCCTCTCTTTCTCTCTTCCTCTCTCGCTTCCATCTCCATCTCCAATTCCTTCTTCCTCTGTTTCGCGCTCAAGCGACTGACTGAGACTCACTGACTCCATGCCAATGCCTTTGAAGCTTTATGTGTAGAAGAAGAAGAACGAGAAGACAAGAAGAAAGACATGTCAGTCTTATCAATTTCATCATCGTCGTCGTCGTCCGCAGCCGTTGGATTCTGTCCTTCCCACAAACACGCCCTTCCCAATGCCTCATTTCTCACCCCACTCCATCTCGTTGGGGTCCACCCAGCAAGTGACCAGAAGAATACCAAGAAGCAGAAGAGGAGGGCCGCCGCCGTTGGAGGAGGAGTCATGGCCACCAAGCGCACAGTCCTCAGGACCCACCATACCCTTTTCTGTGATGAATTGTTTAAGGACAGTGGCTTCCAAGGTTTCAATCCTTTGAATTACATTCTGCATTCTTGTTACTTTTTTTGCCCATTTCATTTGATTGCTCTACTGTCTCACCTTGCTGTTTTACATCGAAATTTCATGTAATAGTATGACATATATATATATATATTGTGATGATTTTTTTTTGGTTGAAAATTTATACTTCTGTTGGATACTCCATAACAAGATGTAGTCGTGGAAGGCCGGGCTTTAGTGATGGTCAATGGATACTCATTAGCTAAGTGGAGGCACATTCAAGTGTTCAATGTTTTAATTGTGGTGGTGAGTGGTGGTGTTTGTGTTGGTGACGGTGCTGATAGTGATATACGGAGTATCCATGGGCACCCATTGACCATCCCGCCGGCTTATTGTTTAGAGTTGGAGAACAGAGGAGATTTGAATTGGTTTTTCTTTTCTGTGATATTCCAACGGTATGCAACTTTTCCTTATGATTTATTGGTTGAAATATGCAGCAAAAACTAGAGATCCTCTGTGTTTCCGGGCACAATATATCTTATCCACTACACCGCGTTCAACATCAACAGCAACAACTACAGTGCTTGATATGGAGAAGCTCAGACTACCTTCCTTAGAATTTAATTCCGATTCTTTGGCTTCAAGTAGACCGTGGACATACACAGGGGCAATTGATCCTCCCACTGAGGTAGTAGTTACTAATCGAGAATGTTTAGTTAAATGCCTGCCAGATTCACATGATTCTCGGGTAATAGATAAATTATACAAACTAGGTTTGCATTCATTCAATTAAATAACAAAAAACGTTCTAAAAATTTGACATGGATTATGGTTGGGTTCTCAGATAGTTTTTGAACATGTTTTAGCTGCTGTGGCCTAGCCACCTTCACTTGTTCATCACATACTTGCAATGACAAATTCAGATCGCATGCTCTATTTTGGGTTTAGAGTTTAGGATTCCAGTATTTTCTTTCCCCGTTTGATTTTTTATGCATGAAGGATGTTGAGCTTACAACTCTAATTAACTTGGGTGGATATCATCAGGCGAATTTTGGATCAACTTTAGCTACAGAAACTCTTCTTACGAGTGAAGAGGCTGTAATAGCAGCTGCTGCCGCTGAAGCTGTTACTCTTGCAAAAGCAGCTCTGAAGGTTGCAAAGGATGTGGCTATGCTGGTTAGCACTATTCACTCTGCTAAACCAGAAATTTCATCTCCAGTTTCTCCAGAGACTAATGCTTTGCATTTCAATTGGGCTCAGCATATAGAAACTGAACAGGTTAGAGTAGGAGCTTCCATGGGAGCTGAAACTGCATTTTTGGAAGACCATTTCATTCAATATGCAGAAAAAGAGTCGGAAGAAGTGGAGCGAACAAATGAAGAATTTGAACTTCTGCAGGAGCAACTTTCCAAGGGTATAACGGCAAAATCGAGTCGTCAAACCGAAAGGAAGGCCAGAAGATCAAAAGCAGCAGAAAAGGCTGCTGCAAGTGTTGTGTCTGTGAAGTCTGGTTCAACCACTAGAAAAAAGCGTTCTTCAGTACAAGAAATAGACCACTCTGATCCCTTGCGTTACTTGAGATCTACTACCCACACATCTCGGCTTCTTACTGCGAACGAAGAAATTGAGCTTTCTGCAGGAATTCAGGTACTACTAGTGTCATCGTGAGAGTTTTGAATCCACCTTGTTTCTTATGAAATATATCAACTACTCCTTGCAATCTTCATTGATACTGCACCCTTGCACCCTCAGACGATCTAATAACAAATAAAAAAATGAATGAAAAAGTTTGTTTACCCTTTTTGTAGCTGATAAGGTCGCATCCACGCTAATAGAAAGTTCAATAATGTAAAGAAGATCCTTCACTGAACTACTCACAAATATACTTCCATTTTGCAGTGGTTTAAAAATGAACCATGCACACAATACCCTTTCCTGGTTTAAGTATGACTTAATGTCTAGCTAACATTTCGTCTAATTATGTGGGTTATGATGGAGGCTAAAATATACTACACCCAACATATGTAATCTATTGATAGATTCACTAAAAATTGTTTATGGCCAACGTTTTAGGAAGTTACTTTTCCTGTTCATGTATTTCATAGAATTAAATGCCCTTTCCTGGTTTAAGTATGACTTAATGTCTAGCTAACATTTTGTCTAATTATGTGGGTTATCACGGAGGCTAAAATATACTACACCCATGGGTTGATATGTAATCTGTTGATAGATTCACTAAAAATTGTTTATGGCCAACGTTTTAGGAAGTTACTTTTCCTGTTCATGTATTTCATAGAATTAAATTCGAAGAGTATAACTGTATAAGGCTTTTGCTGGGAAGCTTTGGATTACAATTAAGCATGGATTTTGATTGATATAGTATGTTATCATGTCATGGATGAAAAAGGGGAAAATTTCAAGGAAATTGTTCAGTCCTAGAAAGTTAAATGCACGTAGAAGTAGTAATAGAACACAAGTAGAAGTAGGGAAATAGTAAAGTCGTTGTAATAGTTTACAAGTAGAAGTAAAAAGACATTAAGAGTTTCAACTGCACGTATAGTTCAAGAAATATGCAGGCATTAAAGAAAACGTTCTTGGAATATTTAGAGTTAATTTGACTATTTTCAGGAACTACTGAAACTGGAAAAGCTGCAGGAGGAGCTTACGCAAAGATGTGGCAGGCAGCCCACCATTGCACAATGGGCTGCAGCAGCAGGAGTTGATCAGAAGACTTTGAGGAAGCGTGTAAACTGTGGTATTCTGTGCAAAGACAAAATGATCAAGAGCAACATAAGGCTTGTTATATCAATTGCAAAAAATTATCAGGGATCTGGGATGAATCTTCAAGATCTTGTGCAGGTATGGTTTTATCTTTGTCATCATAGATATATATAATGGGTTAGGATTGGGGGTACCCATTTTTTGACATACATTTTGACACGCACTCTGTATGGCTCACTTTGTAATGTATTTCAACGATCCAACCGTCTATCTTTTAGGTCTTTCTCAAAGATCATGTCTACCAAAGTCACCCAAATCCACAACGTTATGACCGTTGGATTAAATGATAGTCATTTTAGAGTTTCCTTCCTGAACCGTATCGTCCATTTTCTTTACTACAAATGAATGTTTTAATGGTTTTGGATTTGTCTAATATTTTTCAAGGATGATCTATGAATCAATTGAAATATAGTCAATTTGGATCCTTGAAAAAGTTACGGATTGAGCTCTACAAAGTGTGTAAAAAATGGATGTCCTCTACTCTGATCCAACCCATATATTGTAATATATATATATATATATATATATATATATATGTGTGTGTGTGTGTGTGTGTGTGTGTGTGTGTGTGTGTGTGTGTATGTATATATGTATGTATTTATATTTGTGTGCGTGTGTGTGTGTGTGTGTATTTTGTTTTTAATATAAAATTACTCTCCCCAGAGGATGAAAAAAAACTATTTTCTTCAAGTCTTGCCACCTTTGAGTACTTATTCTTGGTTATTGACTTTCAGCAAGGATGTCGAGGCCTTGTAAGAGGTGCAGAGAAATTTGACGCTTCAAAGGGTTTTAAGTTCTCAACCTATGCACACTGGTGGATTAAACAGGCTGTTCGAAAATCTCTTTCCGACCAGTCCAGAACAATTCGCTTACCCGTGAGTTTTACCTTCATAAATTTCTTTTACCCTGTGCTTCCTATTTGGTATCATGGCTCGTGATGGTAGAATTGTTGGGACCCCACATCACATTCCTGCTGAATTTGTGTATGTTAGTGCTTCATGTTTTTAATACTCTTTACATTTACAATATTTTGGTAAAACAGTTTCACATGGTGGAGGCGACGTATAGAGTTAAAGAGGCCAAAAAGCAATTGTATAGTTTAAATGGAAGACATCCTAATGATGAAGAAGTTGCAGAGGCAACAGGGCTATCAATGAAAAGGCTTTCTGCTGTATTACTGACTCCAAAAGCCCCTAGATCTCTGGACCAGAAAATTGGAATTAACCTGAATTTTAAACCTTCGGTCTGTCCTCTCTACATCCAATGAAACGGAAATTTTTATCCAACATTTTGTCACCTTTTGTGTGCTCCTTTTCTGATGATTTCATGTTGTTCTTCACAGGAAGTAATCTCAGATCCCGACGCAGAAACAGCAGAAGATCTGCTGATGAAAAAGTTTATGAAACAGGATTTGGAGAAGGTACTAGATAGTCTCAATCCTAGAGAGAAGCAGGTTGTCAGATGGAGGTTTGGATTGGAGGATGGAAGGATGAAGACATTGCAAGAGATAGGGGAGCTGATGGGAGTTAGTAGGGAGAGAATTAGACAAATAGAGTCATGTGCGTTTCGAAAACTGAAGAACAAGAAAAGAACTAAACATTTACAGCAATATGCAGTTTCATAGCTCATACAGGGCATCTTGATTTTCATCTATATTATGGCTTCAATTTTCATGTTGCCGAGTGGAAATGTACTCTTTTCACTTTCTGTAATACGAGAGAATATTTGTGCACAGAAACAGAATTTTTTGGATCTAGCATTTCAAATTCTTTTAATGTATCAAAGTGGAAAGAAATTCATATGAACAAACGTAAAGACTCATATGTCAGGTACTATTTTCACTCGATTTGAACTCCTACTTCCAGCATTCTTTCTGCTAACATTATTTCCTTCCACACCCATGCAGTGTTAAGTAGTGTTTGATCATGCACCATACAGTTTGTTTCCTCAAAGGAGAAGCAGTCAGCGTGCGTGGTGGATAAAATACATTGGTAAGAGGTTCATTCTATCTGGAACTTGCCATCATAGTGTGGTCAGTGTGGTAAGGCACTACAGTGGTTTTCAGCTTGTCATGGTCGTATGCTAACATGGACAGGGATGTTCGTTCAGCGTAGTTGAAATTTGCAGGTTCGTTTCAATCCGGTTCAACATGGAATCAGACTATGGTACGTCTTCTTCAATATGGTTGATCCCGGTCTTATTTCTGATTCCCCAGTTACAGAGGTTTAGAATTATTTGTCATCTGATCGAAACTATCCTTGTTTTCAGTTCCTATTTCCTTTAGCTTTTGATGTGATTAGTTATACACTTTTAGATCTTTATATAAAGGTTAGTTCAGCTTCTTCATAAACAAGTTTGCTTCTAGATCAAGTAATGAGCCTGCCAAAAAGCCAACGTTTAAGGTATTACTTTGGGGATATTCAAGGTATGTTGAAGGAAATGAAAAAATTATGGCAAATTTGGAGGTAAGAGATGAATTACTCACTAAGAAAACTTGTAATCGTCGCAAAATGGGAGGGTTAGAAGGGAGAAGTTTCGTTCATGTCAAATCCCCTTATAATCATCGCAAGATGAAAAATCATTCTCCTTCACCCTCAATGTACCTTGAATTTGGAGGTTATCCGTTCCAATCAAATCTTTAATACCAAAGAAGGCTTAAGGCTTCAACTTCCAATGATAAAAGTTACAACATGGACAAGAAGTGGAGTTTATAATTTGGTCCTACAGGTTGAATCATTTTCCATTTTGGCCCCTATGGTTTCAACTTTGCAACTGTGGGATTAATGAAAAATGGGCGGGGGAGAGAGGAAATTTGGACATTCGACTTCTTCAAGAGAAATATTATAAAATTAAGAGATAGATGGTGATAATGTAAACTCATCTATTATTGGAGTTTGTACGTTAATTTAGTGTGGAGTAATAATACACAATTGCTTCCCTTTGAATCCCTTCACGATGCTTGCTGAGCTCATGCTTCAATTGATTCTGGTCAACCCTCACCTAAAGTCCTAACTCCAGCATTGGAGGCCTCAAGAGTGGCCCGCCGCAATATTATTTTTCGCCATGCAGTCTCGGTTATTTTATTTCATCTTCAGTAGTGTAGGGGTTATATTATATTAGACCACGGATTGGATTCGGATTGCTTCTGCCTTGATTCATATTCCAATTCATTTATTCTCGGATTAGCGGAATTCAATTTGAATCATCGGATCTAACTAGTCAATCCATATCTGATGCTAATCGGATTCATATCATATCAGATCCTAAATATCATTAGTAATCTCATTCCTTTATTATATTTTTCTATTTTTAATTAAATTTTTCATGTTGAATAATAAGTTTTTTTTTGCATAATAAAACTTAAATTACCATTACTTTAAAGTATAAATAATATAAAAATAAAATAATATGTTATATTTGTTGATTTTAATCGCCCTTAGTTGATCTTGTTTATCGATAATCTCCAGTGTTTTGCAAGCTTATAAGATGATGCTATGCGAATATATGAACAATAAACCAAACACGCTGCCCATAAACCAATGAATTTAGCAAGGTTCGATGAACTTTGCGTACTCCTCGTGTGATCTCTCTTGAGACCTGCATTATAGAGAATAACAACTCGGTTACAATAGCATAGAGCTTCTCCAAGGGAGATCAAAATCCTAAGTGGAATGCCACTATGCATATTTGACATCAAAATCTTTCCAACTCAAGTGTTACTTGTTGATTGGATTTAAAGACTTTGTGATTAAAAGTTAAATTTGACATCAATATAAAATTTATTTTTAATTAATTTTAATGATGGGTCCCTTATTCCACTAGCAATTTAATTAATAAAAATTTTGTTTCAACCGTTTTTTAATAGGAGGTAGATTGCCTGCCCTCCCACTTCCATACTCTTCCCATCCCCTCCTGTTTGTGTGGTCACGGTTAAGCCACATCAATATTTTATATTGATTTTTTTTTTATAAAAATAATAAAACAAAAAGTAATATGAATATAAAATGTTGACGTGGTTTAACCGTAACCACACAAAACAGGAGGGGATGGGAAGAATATGGAAATGGGAGGGCAGACAATCCACCTCTTTTGAATAATTACAACATTTAAAGCTCTATTTTAATAAGAAAATAACATTTGACAAATTGATTGGAGAAGTACAAAATTTGACATAAGACTTTAAATTGTCACATTAGCCATCAATTACAACTTGACTGTTATAATTTGGCATTTCTTTGAAGATGGTCTTATTGTGCTAAACCCCAAAACCTTGTTTAAATCTCTCTCTCTTGGGTGAAAGCACTCTTACGGAATTTGAAATCAATTCTTAGTAAAAATGCAAGCTAATCCAATAAAAACACTTGAAGTGCTTCCCAAACGAGCCCATAAAAACGTCGAGCTACAACACCAGATTTGAACATACCTAATTTTGAAGAACCTCTTTGTGAGCTTTGAATGATAGGATAACATTCCATGTCAAAGATATAAAGTTAGCAGTAAGGACCTGGAAACACAAAAACAAAAACAGTACTAAGCAAAAATAAAACGAGAGGATTCCCGAATGAAACTGGAAAATAAGTAGTTTACAAAAAAGCCAAAGACTTGTAATAAAATTCCCGTAAGTTGAAAAACAAATAATAAGAAGCCAGCTTTCGAAATGAAACTCATAAACATAACTCCATGAGGGTTCTAAATTCTAATCGCACACCTAATTCGTTTCAATCCAGTTTTACACTAGGTATCCCATCCATTTTCCTGTACACCGAATTTACTTTCGATCACAGCATGCCATCAATTTTCAGTCTTTTCTTGCCTAGTTTTTGATCTTTAAACAAGCTCAAGTATAATCCAGTTTATGTCCTCTCAGGTAGACTGGATCATTCCAGTCTAGGCTGAATGAAAATTACGTGAACAAGAAGTTTACGTGTATAGCTTCTAATATGGAAAACCAGCTTTTGTACTAACTAAACTTTTCTAATTGTGATACATCCGTTATTCATCTTGGTTATTTTGTTTTCGCTTTCCTTGTTCATTCTGTTTTTCCCATTTAAGACAATATTCACAAGAAGTGGTATCAGAGCCAGGTTTGGCTGATATCCGTTTATAATGGAGGGTGCAACCGGCTTTAACTTCTTGTGTATATTGCGTTTAAGAATAGGAAAACAAAACAACATCAAGAGGCAGAAAGAGAGTCCCTTCTGTGACACCAAGAAACCCGTGCGTTGAGACTATTGGCTCCTTGCAGGCACTATTAGATGTCGGGGGCAGTTAGGCATCTTCAGTCTGAAACTTTATCATATCCCAAATAATATCCCTAAGCATATTCTGTCTAGGAGCCATAAAATATGTATTAACTTCTTTATACCATTCTAACCTGGAATTGCTGTGGGACAAACCGAAAGTTAAGAAATTGGAAAGGTATCCACAGTTGCCAATTAGCTAGCACAGCAGAAAACCACTCCTACGCAAACAGATACTTCATATTAACAAATGTAGTTTGTATGCAAATTTACAAAAGTAAATACAATCATTCCATTAGGTTTCAAAGCAAATAGATTCGATTCTTTTAACACCACCTGTTGAAGCTTGGGTACAACTTGTGAACGTTTTCCCTCCAGCGTCATCAATGTTGATAAGAAAACTCCAATGAATATAGGAGCAAAAAGAAACTGCAGCAACATTAACCCGAAAGTTACAAGACAGTGTTATATTTGAAAAAATAACTATCACTTGTCATGAAATTTAATAACCTCAAATGAGAATTTGAGGTCACCTGATCAAGTACGAGACGCAGGAATGCACCTGATGCTCCAGGCATCGTTACCAGTTTGCTTAGATACAAATACCTAATGACAAAAGGTGGTGTAATGAAAACGTACAAGAGCAAAACATGACAAAGAAGGAAATACACATAGAAACAAAGAAAAATTACCATGAAATTAGATAGGTTACTTATTTACAAATCCAATGTAATTTTAGATTTTTTCCAGGGAACCTGATGGCGTGAAAAATGCCATGATAAATTAAACTGCTTGCCGTACAGGAGGGATGGAACAGACATTAAAATTTTGTACCAGAAAGATGTACCCATACATTCATATCAGTTGACAGTTACTGTGCGTTTCTAAAGTTCGTATCCTATTCTTATCTGTTTTTAAATAATAACAATAATAATGAAAGCAGTACTATAATGATGATTCTAAACTTCCGGCTTACAGATGGAATTTTGAATTGTTACCAGAAATGCAATGTCGGACCTACTAACACCAGCCCCAACAGGGTAAACAAGAACGTTCTTTTCAGGTCCAGGTACGGAGCTTTATCAATGACAAGCTGGGGTAAAGAATCACATTAGCATTGTCATACTCTGAGAGAATACAGTATGATCACATAAATATAAGTGATAACTACCATTTTGCAAATGGTACAACCCTCAGTATAATAACTTACAAATCGTACATAATTGTGCGCACCAGAAACCACTCAAAGTTTCAACATTACAACATGTGAAAAACTTTAGTCTTTTGAAAGGCGATTGAGCCAATGCAATGCCATGGTCTTGAGGCAGCTACCTAGTCAGCTTGATTTGAGAGATGATATACAACAAGAAAATTGAGCATCTCAAGTAACAAGTAACACCACTCTAACAGAATAATCTAGGATCACCAGTCCCAGTTCAAATAAACTTCAGTATGTTATTTCCAAATCATAAGGATAACTGTGTAGCTGACTGAGATCAAGGGTTCAACATATGTGGTTCTAGCAAGCACCAAATCAGATTTGCAAAGCTAATCCATTGTTGGAACAGAGATCATAGCATTAGTTTTGTCCCCATCAAGTTTTATCTTCTTCGTTCTTTGTTCTTCCAATTTTCTTCTTTATAAATCAAATCTAATTTGCCAACTCAGCCGTCCACCCTGATAACAGTTTTTTGTTTCTTTTTTGTCAGAATCACATGATGTCTAATAGTCCCCATTAATTCCTAGTTTGGTTCTAGACCACTTCAGTAGACTAAAACAACATTTTTGAACTAAGAGTGCTGAATACAAACTATCAGTATCAGATGAACTTGTCTTCTAGACACATGAAAGTGCTTTCTCCAAGCTGCCTCGTTATAAAATTTTCAACGACACATTATCTATTTGGGGAAAGAAACATGAATCTTAAACCCCCTTTAACCCTTGTTTCCCACTCAAGTATCCAGAACTACCTTGGGACCACACCACAACCCTAATCCCCCATCCCCAAAATCCACAAATCCCTAGAGTAAGATGACAACATTATACCAGTACAAGTATACTTGAGTGACAACAAAAGATAAGGAAAATATATGCAATCTTGAACAAAATGCATACCAAGGATGTTGAAATGCAAGTTGAAGATAACACAGAAAAACAGAGAAAGAAAGATAAACCATTCAACAAATTTTGTTAATGGAAACTACAGGAACATTACCTGGCAGACTATATCCCCAGTAAGAGTTAAAAGGGCAGATGTCAGAGCTTTTGTTGCAACAGGATACTTTGCAAGAAGATCCAAATACCTGAAAATATACAAAATCCAAGCTGGTAATGCTGAACAGGAACTTTATTTTCTGACTGATTAGCTGAGAAAAAAGTTCATAATTCTAATTCTATCCTCAGGATTGAACATAAGACCAGGTGTTAGTATACATAAAATTTGATACATATGCAACCAAAGTGTTTATATCATCGTATGCTTGTTGCATTGAAGACGCCTAAGTAATTTGTTACCAATCCAAGCAGTCAGCACTATCTTATTTATTGGCTTCTTTAATCCAAGTGAATCAAGTCGAAGACTATGCAGGATATTGAGTAATGTACAAAGCTTGAGCATTTTAAACTGCATACTTACCAAAATTCAACTACAGACTCTAAGCTTTTTATCCCGCTAACCGTTAAACTTTCATCTTATATTTTATTCTTTGAAATTGGAATTGTTTCATTACAAATGTACAGAAGGTTCAATTCTTCGTTTTATACAGTCAAAAGTAATGTTGTAGCTATCATTAGAAAATACACATCAATGCAACAAAAGCTTGGACATTGAAATTTGAAAATAAGGTTACCACGAAAGCAATGACCAATTGTTTTCATCACGACCACCGCCTTCACTGTTTGCACCGCCGTCACCTCCGCCGCCATAGTTTCCATCACCAGAGCTGCCGCCTCCACCAGTTCCACCCGACCCACTATCGGAAACAACCGAGAGACGAAACCGGTCATAACCCAGTTGCCTAAAACCTATTTCAGAACGACCCAAGTCCTTAAGCCCGACTTCAATGCCGGAATTCAGGGCAAATGAGTGGGACTGGCACATAGAAGATCTCCTAAAGCCCCTTATTTGAACTGGATTTGCTGCAATCCTAGACACAGTACAAGAATGCAAAGAGGGTCTACGAGAACAACCAACGAACCGGTTTAGGAACGGGATTTTACGAGTGAGTGAGAAGGATGCAGGGTTTAGAGCCATTTCGTGCTATGAACTGAAGCGGCACTTGGAAATTCGACGTTTTGGAGTCGATAGGCATACAAAAGAGTATTAATCAAATATAACAAAAAATTAACCCTTAATTTCAAAAATGTCATTTTTTATAAAATCTTTTAAATATATACAAAATTCCACTTATATAGACACAAATACCCTCAAATTTGACAATCAAATAAATTAAAAGCCTTTTAGCCAAAATGATTCGTGATATTGATATAACTCCTTAATATGGTCTTTAACCATTAATAATAATCAATAGTAATGTTCTTGAAATTGTTTGTCGTGAATCATTTTAGTCTTTATTTGAATTTGTCCATCGTGATCATTTTAGTTTTTTCGTGAAAAATATGTCAATTGCTCTATTAGTGTGATGATGTGACATTGGGTCTCACAAATACAATCATATAACGACATGTGGATTAACTTTAAAAACTATTTTTATATTTAAAACTAAAAATGATATTAGTAAGAAAAAAAGCGTTGAAGGCATGATAGAAATTCTGTTGCTCCTATTTGCGGTAACCGTAAAGGCGCTTAATGTCAGTAATGAAGGGGTCAAATAGGGTTGTGATGGTGGAGTGTAGAAGTGAAGGTGAAGTTGGACCGAAGCTTAAGATGACAATAGTTAAAAAGCCTTTAATTTATTTAATTGTTAAATTTGAGGATATTTGTGTCTAGAGTAAATTGTACAAATGGTCCCTCAACTTTAATCAAATTGGAGCAATGGTCCCTCAACTAAAAATTCATTACCATTGGTCCCTCAACTTATCAAAATGTGTAGCTATAGTCATTTTCATCAATTTTGTCAAAATATTGTCAAAATAAGCTATGTTGGAATAACCATTTATATAATTAGGGTCCCTTAACTCATCAAAGTGTATAATTATGGTTCTTTTCGTCAACTATGTCAAAAAATTTATCAAAACGAGTTATATTGGAAGGACTATTGTTACAATTGGGTTAAAGTTAAAGGACCATTTCTCCACTTGAATTAAAGTTCAGGGACCAATGGTAATGGATTTTTAGTTGAGGGACCATAGCTGCACGTTTTGATAAGTTGAGGGACCAAAGGTAATGGATTTTTAGTTGAGGGACCATTGCTCCAATTTGATTAAAGTTGAGGGACCATTTGTACAATTTACTCTTGTGTCTATTTAAAGGAAATTTTGAATATATTTGAAAGTTTTTATAAAAAGTAACATTTTGAAATTAAGAGTTAATTTTTGGCTATATTTGATAAATAATCAAAACTCCATACAAAAGGGCTGCTTGTTCTCTCGTGTCAAGTGTTACTAATTAACAACTGATTCACCATTGGTAGACTACTTAATACTGGTTGAGGTAATTGCGATGTCTATATAAGAACAAAACACCGTAGAAATAATCCTATTACATTTGTTGCTTTAACGGTGTGAGTTTGATGGAGATTGAGTTTTATATGTCAACTAGCAAAGATGCTTGCGCTCTGTTGTAGGTTTGAAACTGTAACCACAATTTAACACACCTATTATCTCAAGTAATGGGACTAATTAATCTTTCCAACAATGATTAGCAACTAAAATTGGTCCACAAATTAATTAAAAAGAAAGACCAAGTGAAAATTTGAACACTATTAGCAGATGCATACATGTACAATTTTATCTTGGGTGGGCAACGTACAATTTTTATAACCAATAACCAATGTTTTCTATTTTGTGTTTTTCCTTTCCTTTGGTCGATTTCTTTGCAGCCTCTTCCTCAAGCGCAAACGTTTCTCAAATCTTCTCAATTTTATACCTAAAACGTCGAATTAGATCATCAAATTTCAGGATAGGATAACTATGAAAATACTACTATTGTGGAACAGACAACGTAGAGCAAGACGTTGTCGTTTAGGCTAGGGTTTTAAAAAGAAAATTCCCTTCTTCCTCCCCCAGCTACTGCTTTGCCGATTTGCTGCTTTTCTCAAGCAGGTTTTTGGTCATTCTTTCTGGGTGGGCAGATTGAGTTCCGGTCAAGGGGTTACACGCGTCTGATGGCCACAAAACCTGTTGACAGAGTGAGTGAGTTTTGGGTTCGCTGAACATTAGGAATCTGGTGGTGAAATTGATCTCGATGGGCAGATAGGGATTTGGGTTTGGAAGTATCTCGATAAATGTCACGGTGCAATTTCTTGTCTCGATGGTGTGAACATTTGGGTGAGCTTTTTTTGGTTTCGATTCGAATTGGAGTAAAAAAGAAACGGTGAAGAGGAAGGAAGCGGTGGAGGAGAAATCTTCGCTAGAACGCCACGCGTGCAAAATAGTTTTCTTGTATACAGGGAGTCAACACGTATGCCTATAGGCAGTTTGGGGATTTTACTATAGAGGAAGTAGGATCACAAAAACATTAAAATAAGGGTGAAAACGTCAAAACACAGTTACTTATGAACAGTGTTTTTCTCATTCCACTTTAGTATAGAGTACTAGAAAAGGTGCCCGTGCTTTGCCACTTGTGTTTAAAATATTTTGGAAATATATCCATAAAGATTGCAAGTTTCAAAATTGTACAGAACATGTAAAATTTATAAATATATATATACGATAGGTGATACTATCTATATACATGCAAAATGCAAGAAGGAAGTTGTAATCAATATCACAAATGTAAAATACAATTTCAAGAACTATTTTTAGACAGCTGAACATTAAGAACCATTTCAGCAAGAATTATGCACGATCTTTGTGAAACTATATGATGAATGATACAACATTGTTAAACCAACATGAACGTGAACGGGAGTTGATCTTAAAATTCATTTAAAGGGTAAGTGGTAAATACCGTTTGCTTGAGATGCCAACTTAATGTTTCATCATTCAAATGAGACTGCTTTTGATGGACAACAACAAAGAGGGGACGTGGGGTGGATGACACCAGAGGGAATAAACACTGACCAAAAATCATAAATGTTAAAAAAACAAGAGTCGTATGAAGAGACTGTTTAACAACTAATGGCAGAAAAGGAAGAAAAGGAAGTCAGAAACGAAATGGAAAGGAGAATATATCATGGAACAATTACCAGTTTCCTTAACTAAAACATTTCCCCTCTCATCCACCAGAAGGATGGAAAATGTGCATCCTACCTTTCAGTTTTGCTTTAAACCTCCACAAAAGCAATAGGATGATGACTACGAACACTTACTGAAATTACCGCTATCACAACGGTGGATAATTTTTTCTTATTACGTATATATAAAAGGAGATCCAATAAAAGATGTTCGTGCAGTCTTCTGTGGTGCAGCATTTCATGCAGTTAATACTTAATAGGGCAGTTTCCTGGTCCTTTTCTGCGCTATGCTCTGTATTTTCAATAATTTGAATATACAGCACATAAACCATGTCTGGCCTTTTATATTACTGAAGCACAGAGATTCAAAAGACAATAAGTTATTTTTCGTCACAGCTCTTAAATTAAAAACAAACACAATTTATTTAATCAGTTTTTGAGTATAAACAATGTTGTCCTTGATTAAATAATAATGTCAAACAAAATCAAGAGAAAAATATAACCGTCCAATAAGAATGACTTACCGAATTACATCATAAAACAAAAGGTAAAGAATAAATAAAAAAGGCAAGTAAATGGCATTAAATCAATTGATTGAGCACCTAATTTGACTAAATCCAAAATCTCAGCTGTATACAAAGGGCAACAATGCAAAAAAGAAGAATCACCATTTTCTCAAAATCAGAAGACAATCGAATTATCCAGTTACACTTATGATCCAACCACACAAAAGAAATCTTCTAAATCGGAAAAAACTCTCCTTTTTCTCCTTTCCGTAGCTTCTTCAGTAATATGCAAAGTTATGGACCTCAAGCTAACTTTCCAATCCACTACTTCATTATGCAAGTGTGACCCTAGGGTTTTAAAATTGCAAAAATTAGTCCAAATCACAACCCAAAACCCAAACAAAACCCCAAATCAATTTGAAAAATAAAAAAAATACATAGTCCAAATGAACTCAGCCCATCCCTCTCGCACATTCTTCTTTCCTTCCTCTGTTTTCGTACCCCTAATCCTAAATTTTTCTTCCATCCCTTCTCTACTATTTTTCTTTGACCATCCGCAAAACCTGAACACCCCCCCTCCTTTCCCCTCCCAGTTTATTTCAAATGGCCTCCAACCTGATTATATTATTTTGCAATATCCACCCTCCAACTCAGCACAAAAAAAAAAAAAAAAAAAAAAAAATTCAAAATCAAAACCCTTGCCGCTAGAAACATACAACACTTTCTTGTAAAAGACAGATCAAAAGAGTAGAAAAATATTTCGAACCCAACCAAATAGAAGCAAAAATTAACAATTCTAACAGATAATCGATGAACAGCAAAGCAAAAACCTCAAGATTTTGAACAACAAAACCTACAAAGAAAGAGGGCGACAAATTTTAACACTTAAAATTGAACAAAACAAATCCACAAATTTGGAAAAAGAACTGGCAAATGCAAGAATCGAATAGCTATTAAAAGTCGGATTCTTCCTAGTTATACTGGACTGACCCTGCATCATAACCTGACCATTTTCTCATACCAACTCAAGAAAATCATTTCTGCATTAAAATCCCACAAAATGTGCAAAGTAAAGCGTGACCTTTTCCGAAAATCCGTTGCTGTAATTGGACCTTCGACGAATCTTTGATGAGATTGTGCCTGCAAAAAATTCTCATTGCTTATAACTCCAATTTTTTATGAATATGCTTTGAGAGGCCCGACCCGGAATGTCCACTAGGACTTCGAATCGAGTTGTGCTGGCCGACACCTGGAAGGTGACAAAGCCATAAAGTATTGATATAGAAAATGTGAATAAATTTAAACCTAAAAGTACCTAAAGACAAGAGTGCGCTGTGAGCGGGGATGAACCCATTTCACATACGAGGGTAGAGCATAAGTAAAATACAGTAGTGTGGGTAAAGATCATACCCTCAAAGGTAGCCACCTATAATAAGATTCGCCATGAATCCTCGTCGATACGAACTTTCAGCAGGTGAAAAACAAGGGTGAGTGAGCCTGAAAATAAAGGTGA